ATGCAGATTAGGACCAGTTTTCATTAATGACAGCTTATGAAGTTTTCATTTAAAAGAGATTAATCTAAGCTCTTCGCAGTCCCAGAGCAATGCTCTCATAGAAGATGCAATTCTCAGCTGATCTGCCAAGATTAATGATGGCTTCTGGATCACTTTCTGAGCAGCTGCTACGATCAAGTGAAAAAAAGAACAAGAAAAAGAAATTTCATTTCGATCTAGCTAGCCATAACTCTTGCCTCAAAGTCCCAGTTTCAGTGCAGAGAATAAATTATTCCCCTTTTGGTCTGCTCTGTTGTTCAGAATTGAGAAGGCGGCAGGGAAGCCGTTGTGGCTCTGAGATCTTAGTGCCATCCCTGATACGCTTGTGACCTTGCTTGCCAGTGGGAATGAAAACATCAGGCTCTTGGCCAAACTGCGGCAGATTAAAGTAGACAAAACAACTCAAGAACATAGACAAAACTTTTAAGCGGAGTGGAGGATTTATTTTCTTCAGCTGCATATATCGCTGGATGGCATTTGATTATTGTACTATCGCCAGCACTTGATGAGTAATAGCAGAAAAGAGTAGAAAAGCAGATTTATTACCCCAGGTTAGCCACATTTATGAGAAGACATTTTGTAGAAATTAAATAATTTTAGGATTTTATTTTTCACTCTTAATACAGGTAGCCCTTGACTTACTGCAGTTCATTTAGTAACCATTCAAAGTTACAACGGCACTGAAAAAAATGACTTGCAACCATTTTTCACACTTACAACCTTTGTAGCATCCTCATGGTCCTCTGGACAAAATTTAGATGCTTGGCAACTGAGTCATACTTATGACCACTGCTGTCTCCTAAGGTCATGTGATCACCTTTTGCGGTCTTCTGGCAAGCAAGTAAATGTTTAAGTAAAATTCACTTAACAACTGGGTTACTAACTTATCAATTGCAGTGATTCACTTAACAACTGTGGCAAAACAGGTCGTAAAACTCACTAAATAAATATCTCACTTAACGACAGAAATGTTGGGCTCAATTGTGGTTGTAGGTTGAGGATTACCTGTACTTTTTAAGTCAAGAAACAAGAATGCAAGAAAACTGCACAGAACAATGTATCTCAAAATTTCATCATACTTTACTTATACCAATAAATTTAAAAGAAAAATTATTATTGTTAGCATCAGGTTTTCCCAGATCTAATGCAAATGTTATCCATCTGAGAAATCACTATTCAAGTTTTATCAGCAGTTTTTTTCCCCATAAGAGCAATTTACCATATCTTTGCATATCAATTGTTCAATAATAGGTTATCTAAAAATGTCCACTTTTGAAGCAGAATGATTTTCAGAGAAAGAGAAATACTGTATATCTGTTTCATGAAATTGGTAGATTATCTTTGTTTAAATCCTTGAACAATTGGCAAGGTTCACATGCTCTGTAGACTAGAATGTCTTGCTTCACACAATTTGTTAAATCAAACCAAATAAACTCATATACAGCTTACCCACAGTGTATACAATCTAGTCCTAAAATGGGACTTCTGATTTATGGCAAGCTAAACATCCCTAAAGGACCAGGAACAGTGTTAAACAGAGATGTGAATTCTGGCCAGTGAAGTGTCTCTAGAAAAAGGACAAATTGTGAAATTTGCTCACTTGTACTCTGGGTAGCTGCTCGTTGTGAGAAGACTGTAGGAATTGAGATTTTGGTTCTCAGTTCATGAGTTGAATGGCTGGGTTTGAGGGATTTCACTCAAGCTCACTGCTGTAATGCAGCCTATATGGACATAAGGTTGCTGAGAGTCATTTCTTAATCACTTTCAGAAATTGCTTCTTAATTACTTTTTAGCTATTACCAACCTTTGCAACAGAATGATATGGAGAAAGATGCTCCACTGGATATACAAATGAAAGCAGCTGGTGTCTTAATAATTAAAAGGGATATACAAATAACAAATCAAAAGAGTGACCTGGATAACTTTCCTATATTAGTTTTACAAAACAAATTTCTTAAAGTTTGAAAAATTTTGTAAGAAGGGACAATGAGAAATAAGGGAACAAATCAAATTTTTGCCCAGTATTTGAAGGGATTAAAGACTGTTAAAAGAAAAAAGAAGGAATATAAACTTGGTGTTTTTGGTCAAGGTTAAAATAGATTGTTATCTCTGGTAACTTGCTGACCAGAATTGGATGACAAGGTTTTGTTTATAGATAAGAGATAAGATATGGGAAAATAGATCATTTGTTATATTTTAAGAGAAGTTATGACAATTGTTTATACTTGTGGTGAAGGGAGAAGCCATTGCTTTATATATTTCTTTTATTTTCTTTACTATATTGTTACTCCTCTTCTATTGTTTTTTCCCCTGTACTTTATGTTTTTTTCTTTTTTTAGTTTACATTAGTTTTTATCTTTTTAACTATAATTGTTATGCAGGGAATCAGGTGTGGCTTGGCATGAACTAAGAGGTAGAATCCAAATTCTCTTTCTGTCATATATTTATTCAGGCCTGGATGAAGGTGGGTCCCCCCATAAGACTGGATGAAACTCAAGTGCACATTTATATAGATTTCTTAGTTTTATTTGGTTACATAAGCAGGAAACAACTCATAGTAGATAAGACAAGAAATTCACACACATCCTGACGCGCTCATTATCAAGCTCTGTGGTTTCTTTTACAAGGTTTTCATGATGTTTTCACAAGATCTTCATGAGGCTGGAGGCCTGCTGAGGCCAGTCTTTTATTTCTGTTATTTCAACATAAGAATCTACATCATCAGACCAACTCTCAAATCAGTTATTAAAATTCTGATTAACATAATGTTTAATAAAATTGTTACATAAAACTAGAAATCTAATCCTAAAATCAGAAGTCTATAAAATTTCAATTGAATTGTCTCCTTTGACAGTAAAAAATTAATCACAGCACATTGCTTGATGTGAGAATATAATAATATAATAATTAATAGAATAACAGTTGGAAGGGACCTCGGAGATCATCTACTCCAACCCCCTGCTCGAACAGGAAAGTCTAAACTGTTTTAGACAAATGGACGTTCAGTTTCTTGAATGCCTGATGGGGCATTCACAAGTACTGAAGGCAAGTCATTCCACTGTTCATTGTTCTCACTGTTAGGAAATCTCTCCTTGGTTCTAGCTTGTTTCTCTCCTTGATTAGTTTCCATCCATTGGTTTTTGTCTTGCCTGCTGGTGCTTTGGAAAATAGTTTGCCCCCCTCATCTTTGTGGCAGTCCCTTGAATATTGGAACACTGTTATCATATCTCCCCTAGCCCTTCTTTTTACTAGACTAGACATACCCAGTTCCTGCAACCGTTCTTCATATGTTTTAGTTTCCTGCCCCCTAATCATCTTAGCTGCTCTTCTCTGCACTTTTCAGAGTCTCAGTGTTCATTGCAAGCTTATATTTCACAAATAATAGAAACACAATATCTTCTCAGAGCAACTTGCTCTCAACTTAAGTGAAAGAACAGAGGCTAAAGAACATGTCAGAGCTTGTAACTCATCAGTTTTGCCATTTGTTGGCATCTTTGAACATCAATTAACTGCTGTTAACATAGAAAGTCTGTGTGTATGTGTGTGTGTGCACATGCATACATACATATGTGTAGTTGGAAGATCCAAAAATATACAGTTTTGCAAAGACTCTTGGGAGTCTTTTTAGGGCCCCTGGGAAGCCGGTGAGATGGCTCCAAATACCACAGAATTCAGGATGTCTTAAACTCGACACTCATTTGAGGGACAGTCTAGAAATTTGGATTCCATATGCTACAAGACTTGAATGCAAAGTAACATCTCCAATGTTTTGTCTTCTGAGTCAGTGATCAGATAATGAGTCATGAGGCTGAATTTCTTTCTTGATTATTAGGTTGATTCTTAAGAGTTGGAGATTTTTCTTTCATGTTTAGTATGTAAGGACAAATTAGTACATTCATTGTTTCATCACCAGCAATATCTCTCACTCTTGGGTTAAGACCTTTCTTACTATCTGATGTTCTTATTGACACTATTGCATGACTCCATATAAAGTCCTTACCAGTGAGGTAATTCACAGCTGGAGAGAGAAAAATTCATTCTCTTATTTATTCATATTTATATTCGTGTGTGTGTGTGAGTGTGTGTAAAATAAATAAATACATACATACATACATACATATACATACATACATACATGTATGTATGTATGTATGTATGTATGTATGTATGTATGT